AAAAAAAAACAAATAAAGCATTAAATCTTCAGATTATGGAACTCACAAACATTTGTTTCACATTGCATTAAAAATCTTTTGGAGGATGATGCCGTTGAAAACGTTAAGCAATCTTTAGCTCACAATTCTCCATGCACTATTTGAAGAAGTGTAAAATTAAAACTGTTATTTCTTTGTCGATCCAAAGCATGTATGTGATCAGGTTTTTGTTTGATATAGAGATTATTTATTATTATAATATCAGAATTGAAAATGTACTTCATTAATTCAAACTCACATAAATGATTCAATAATGGCAATAATATCTACTATGCAAATTGGTTATAGCAACAAAAACAAACTGCCTAGATATACAGTCAATAGTAAAAATTCCAATGGGAAATTACGGTAAAGTATTTAATGTAATGTCAAGTCTGTGTGATTCCAACTTAAAAATGCAAATCCATAAACCTTCACTCTCTCAATTCATCTTTAAGATGCTTCCTAAAACCTTCCAACTTGACAAATCTGTCATTACTCTAATAACTTCCTAACATCTCCCTGGCACTTTGTGCCAAATTTTGTCTGAGAGCTGCCTTGTGATATCTTACTCTCTTGAAAGTGCTATATAAATGCAAGTTATTATTGTAACAAGCATATAACTTGTTCAGTCTTAATTCGGGTACTACTAACAAAATCAAGGCTGTTATACACTGACCGGTTAGTAGGCACATTGTGCATCGTACCTCCAGTCAGTACCTTCACCAAACAACACTAAATTGTCCTTAAAGAAAACATGGTCCCCCACCCCAATAATGCATACATCGTGGCCAATAAGGTCCAATTGTGCTTGTTCATTCAGTAATGGGCTTAAATTACCTTTGCTAAATTTCTGAAAGAGAAAAGTTGATTTGCTTGCAAACTACCGAAATAAGGAACTCAATACGTGGCTTTTCACTGGTGAGATCCAGCAACCTATCAATCTGTGATGGAGCTATAAATAACTCAGTTATTTTCCTAATCTATCCTGATATTGGATATGAGTATCAATGGTTTTGTAAGTAGATCATATTTCATCTTGTGCTTCATTGAGTCATACAGCAGAGAAAGAGGCCATTCAGCTCATCATCCCTGGGCTGGCTCTTTGAAAGAACTGTATGATTAGACTCACTTCCATTCTTTCTCTATAGCTCTGCAAACGTTTCCTTTTCTGGCATATATCCAATTTTCTTTTTGTAAATTACTATTGAATCTGCTTCTACCACCATTTTGAGCAGTGCATTCCTGTTCATAATATTCACTGGGTTATAAAGGAAGCATAAGAGATTTTCATAAATGAATATTCTGAATAAATGTTTAAAATCTGTAAAATTAGTTATTTCCTCAAAATACTACAATAAGAATGTATTGATTTGGAGAAGTTCCGTCAAAATACTACAGCAAATATTTATTTGTACTTTTGTAACTAAGTAGAATGTCGAAATACCAAATAAAGAGCACTGGATAGCAACATGGTAATCAAATCTGGAAGTTCACATGAAGTCATAAACAAAACAGCAAAATTAAACAGTTTATACCTATCACCCGTATCTCTGAAATAAACTGCAACTCTGAAAATCATTATAATATTTTCCTGTTATTTACAATATCTTTGCCATGCTCATTGCTTTTTATTTCTCTGGCTGAATATTTTCAGCCATTGCCTCATGTTCCAGAATTGTAGGATGAGTTTGATTATCCTTTTTTTCTCTCGGCATGTTGCGGTTCTCATTAGGATCTCAAGCACTAAATCTTGTTGATAAAAGGTGATGGGAAAGGTTTGTCCACTACCAAGACATTTATTTCCCCATCATGCTTTTTCTGATGCACCATCTTCTCGTTCCTTGCAGCTCACTAGTATCTTCGTAATGGGAGGGTAGATGGTACAGTAGTAGGATGCAGAAAATATTGCAACTTTACAAATAATTAATACACAATTGATTGGAAAGAGTCACACATCTGTTATTAGAATTTTGTAAATATAATCCCTCAATATTGTTAGAATTATCATATTGGAAGTAAAATTAAACAATAATTTCCTAGAAATATTTCCTTTCATTTGGATGATTTTACTCAAGAACTAATTGACTAAAAATCATTGCTGGTTAAAATTAAAGTATATAATCAGTAAATTGACTATTCTGTGGAAATACAACCTTATAAATAGTAAGTCTTGATCTATTGATTAAAAAATACATTAGATGTATATATGTGATGATTTCCTTTTCTAAAAATAATAACATTTCTTTGAACCACAATTTTAAAAATTAAGTTCACACTATTTTACTGACTGAATGTGTGCAATCGAGTCCTTTCAACAAAGAGTTAGAAAGAACAAATAAATCAAGACCATTCTCACTTGTGTATGAAGATTTGACTGACTTTGCTTCATTTCTGAAGACTAATGGAAAAAAATGGTTTGCAATTATACGATGCCTTTCACAACTTCAGGATGTACCAAAGTGCTTTCCAGAAATTGAGGTAACTTTTGAGGTGTCGTTAATCTTGTGATACAGGAAATGTGACAGCCAATTTATGCACAGCAAGATTAGACAAACAACAATGTGATAACATCTAGATAAACTGTTTTAGTCATATTGGTTAAGGGATAAATATTGTTTAAGAAATAATGAATAACTTCCCTACTCTTCTTCAAAATAGCTCCATGGAACATTTTATGACCACTTGACAGGGCCTCAGGTTAACATTTAATCCAAAATAGACACATCTACCAGCCAGCACTCTCTCAGTCCTGGGCTGGGAACATCAACCTGAATTTGAACCCTCAGCACTCTGGAATACAACTTGAATCCATGACATTCTGGCTCAGATGCATGAGTTCTATCACTAACCCAAGGCTGACAAGGTTTATAGATGATCTAACAGAGGCGTTCAAATGGGATTTTCATAATGTAAACAAGAAACTATAGCTAACTAAATTTGAGATACCACAGAACAAACTGAAGACTTTTCAGAGTAATTAAAACATGCCCTAGCACAAGCCACAGGGGTTAAATACTAAATAAAAACCAGTTCCAAGGAAGGGTCACTGGACCCGAAACTTTAACTCTGATTTCTCTTCACAGATGCTGCCAGACCTGCTCAGCTTTTCCAGCAATTTCTGTTTTTGTTTCAGAAGCCATAGCGGATTCATTATAGTTTGCAAAAGGGAAGTAAAAGAAAAGTCATAAAAGAATTTGAAGTGCAGGGAGATGGAACTCAGCTGTTTTAGAGTAGCTGGAATAAAATGGCTACCTTTTGTCCAATGAAATTCTGAGTTTAACCACAAATGAATTGGCACTTCGTTGAAATTACCTTTACCATAATGTGTGTAACATGGACACTGAACAGGTTTTGTTTTACTAATATTTAGACTTTGGTCCTACTCTTCTGCACACGTTCGAATAACCAAAACAACTCAATGTATTTCTCACGCAGCAACTCAGTCCCTCAATGATTTGACATTAAATTCTCCGATAGTGTAGCCACGGTAAACTTGAGCAGGTCTGTAGATTGAACAAAATTACAGCGAGTGTGGGGAAAGCAAGGTTTACACTCAGTGGCACACTAGCCAGACCAGAATAAGAAAAACGATACAATCTTGGATGCTGGGGCAACTTTCTCACCGAGGAATGGGGAAGCAACACGGGATTTTGTTTTTGTTTATTTAATGCTTCAAAGAAGCATAAACGGTCTTGGCGTGCTAACTCTACCTCGGACCAGTGATGGGAGTATACTCCACGGACAATGACTAAAATTCCGTTCTTCGGCATGACTTTATCGTCGTTGAAGAAGGAAGTTTCCTGACGATACCCACTCCCTCCCTGCACATCCTAAAATAAAAAAAAAAATCCTTGGCGGGAGTACAGTTTGAGAATCATTACTGGAGATCCTTTGCGGAGGTGCGCTGCGCGCTACGGGAATAAAGGAGTGCATATTAAATAGCACAGTGGTCAGTGACTGGAACCATTCACATTTCATTGGGCGGCAGCTAACCCTTTAAGGGCCACACTGGCTCGAAATGGATTAAAAACCCTCCGGACACTATATTTATTCGAAGATTGCAGCGAATACAAACTCCCATCTGTGCATCTCCTAACCTTAGTGCTGTAACTCAGCAGAAAATGCTGTCCCTCAGTGTTAAGGGCTGTAGAATAAAAACGACGGTGGTCTGAAAGCGACCCTTTGCATTCAATATTTCAGTGGGTTACACCGTGATGCGATTGGAAACCTATTGACCCGTGGAGGAAAAGGGGAAAGTTTTTATGTTATCAACGTGTACGAATATAAAATTTGTTGGAACGTACAACTGGAGTTCAAAGCATTTTAATGTGTGCTCATGGCCGAGGTGCATAGGACAAATAAAATCGCACCCCAGAAAGGGTTAAACCCTTTCGTACAGAACATCTTCCAAAGTAAAGCCAAAAATGTTAACAAGATGTTCAAAAGCTTGAGGGTTAACTATGTCACGGATAAGAAAACGTTGTCTCTCCCCCCACCCCCATTTATGGTTTTGTACGATTTAACACTACCATCTCCAATATTTAATATTAGAAAAGGATACATTTTACAAACGGCACGTGCAATGTAACAGTCCAGTTTTTAATTGATTGGTCAACAGCAAGTTTTAAAATAAAGCTTATTTCACAAGTCTTGGGTAAAGCATGCGCATAATTTAAAAAAAATACGAGTCTCCATTGAATGTATGAGCAAAGCTTTTTGTTTTTTTTTTCAGATGAGGTTAAATTTAGCTTCAGTAGCATTTCTAATATAAGGGGGGGGGTGGAATTGAAATGTTGCTTTTGGTCAGGTTTAAATCTGTAGTGGATATCCTACTTGAATGACTTTGTACATGAAATCGCTGAGGCCAAAGCTTCACCTCGGGCTTCTGACAGTTTTGAAATGTCTCAGTTTATTACCCTCCCTGTCCGCCCGCCTGTGTAAGGCGCAGAGGCACGTTTGCTGACTGCGATAACCCTTACCGTCGCGTCCCTCGTATTAACCGGTCTTTCTGTCGCCGTTTTCTTTTTTAACCCAGTCGGAACATTTCAGTTTGATGGATCAGTCACCCGTATTTAATCCAGGGCTGAGGGGAGGAAAGAGAATGGGAGTATATGTGTATGTGTTTTGTAAAGTTAAAACGAGCCGAACTCTTGCACAGCAGCCTCGAATTTGATCCTTGACCACAGTCCTAATGTTTTAAATTACAACTACACTTCAACCCTATTTTCACCTGCTTCCCTCAAAAATAAATCATGTATTTTTTTTATTTTTAGGAAGAAAGAAATGAACCCGCATAATTTACAGTCCTCAGATACTGAAACTGACCTGAAATTGACATAGGCAAATCGGTGGGAATAAAGGAGGCGACAGCTTTCGGCTGCCATTTCAAACCTGGTTCTTACATTTATTGTACAACTTGGCTGATATTTGTTTTGTGTTGCCCCATCGGTTCCACGCCTGGTCCTGAAAAGACTGTAAGAGGACCCTGTTTTTTTTTGAGGCGGTAGAACTTGCAACAGCCGATAGCAAGTAGTTCAGGGATACTAAAAGAAAATATTTCCTGCTCTTGAGTTACATCCTCCTATCAGGTTACGAGTGGCACCGGCAAACCAGATGTTGTCCCAGAAACTGTTGACTTAAAACAGTATTTCAGAACAAAAGCACAACGGGCCAAGAACGTCGCAATCGGGGAAATAATGCAGAGAAAACAAGGTTTGGAAACAACTTTCCTCAAGTGTGTGTGCGGTATCTAATTCCAACATTTAAAAAAATATATATGAAAAAGACATATACTGTTGATGCCCAATTACTGAAACTCCTTTTTTTTGTCTCTCACGATTCTCAGAATTGGGCTTTGTTTTAGATGCATCAGATTTTTATTTTTCCAACAAAAATCCCAAAACTTTTGCAAGTTAAGTTTCAAGGCCTAGCTATTTAGTTCGGAACCAAAACCTTGTCAACTGCAAAATAAGTTTATCTCAAAAACCCCAAGATGTGTTTGTAAGGGCAAGGGAAGTTTGTACCTGCAGATCCACCGCACTGATAAAATGCAAACTAGTTTCTGGTCTTTTATAAATGGAATGAAAATCATAATTCAGATTCATCTTTAAAATGCAGTTTAACACAGCACAAAGGCCGACTGGATCGTGAGGCAAGCAATATTAAACTCTGGCCCTTTCCCCCTTCTCTGATTAACAGCGCCGAAAAAAAACAAGAAAGGGTCGTGTTTAACCTTATACCTATCCTCACAGGTAGAATACATAACTTGATCCAAGTGACATTTAAGCAAAGTCTGGTATTTTTTTAAAAAATGAAACTGTTACATAAAATCTGTCCAAGTTCCTCCCAGGAATCTGGAAGCGGACATCTCTTCCGAAGAATTCAGTATAATAGCGGCGAGGAGAGTATTGTGTGCGGAGAAAGGTATTTTGATCACAGGAGCGGAGAACTGAAGTATGTAGAGTGGTCGGAACTACAAGATTAGGAGACCAAATGCAACTTTAACCTCAAAACATACAGATGAAAAATTAAAACATCTGGACATATCTTCATTTAAGTTTGCTTTACTTTCTTTCGAAAGACTGTCCAAATGTTTTAGGAAACTTCGGAATACAAAATCAAGATAGGAATACGGCTAAAATACAATGCGGCAGTGAGAGAACGAGACGCAGGTCGTGGACCAAGAGAATTAACACTGGGCAGGAATAAAATGGCATTTATATAATAATGAAGAGTAGTGTTGGAAACAAATATGTCTTTATTTCAATACAAGTGAATCTAAACTGAACTGATTCTGCAGCGGCAGAATGCCAGGCCATGTCCGACTGCAACTGATCAGATTGGGCAAAACGGCCCAGCAAAGATGGAGACGGAGATGTAAGAGTTGCATTTATATCTCCATATTACACAGCACCAGGACATCGGCATTACAGTGTTTAGGTCCATACAAGTGTGGCTAGCTTAACAGAATTGTTTATTATAAAATTGATCGCATTGTAATAATGCACAGAACTACAAGGCAGTGATGATACAGATATACCCTCATGTCAATCTCTTTATGAAGGGACAGTAACACCTTAAATAATGTAAATCCCACTGGGTATTTTGTAAAGATAATGTGTACCCTCTTTAGAGACAAAGGAAACATGACAAATCTCTGTATTGATTTCGACGGTCTGAATATATAACATGCAAATAAAGCCTGTCGCCTTTTTAAAATGTTTATTTTGGGGAAAGACAGTAAGAAAAACCCACTCATTACTGGAACTGACTTGTACGATGCAATGAAACCACCCTGCGATGTTTTAGTTACTGAAGGGCAGGCTTTGCGTGGAGTTGTGCAGCAGTGTCATTTCTGTGTGTGTGTGTGTGTGTGTGTGTGGATGTACTGCCCCCAGTCAGTCAGTCAGTCAGCGGGAGTGTATTTGTGTCAGTTTAAGAGCCCACGTAAACCGCTCTTGCAGCTGACGCACAGGCACTCCGAGACTGACAGACAGACTGACAGACAGACAGATAGATAGATGGACGCGTTGCAGGGTCATGACGCCTGGGCGAATGCACAGATGTTAGGGCGGAACCTGAAGTTGTTTTGAACGTATTAGCTCCTACTTCCAACACTCAAGTGCAAGTGGGTCGGTCTGATTCTCTCCCCCCCACCCCCGCCAACAAACCCCCCCCAGCCCCCTCCTCCCCCAATCCAACATTGTTCCCGTCAGCTGAAAACTCGAGAGGAATAGCAGCGGATCGATTCGAGGATCAAATTGTTTTACAGAACAGACAAGGAACCATTCTGCGCCAGCTAAAGTTTTACTTTAAAATCGATGTCAGGAACAAGGCAACATTCTGGAGAGAAAGAAGTGTGAATGATGGTCTGCGACTCACCGATTCCGGGCCAGTAATTCGCCGTCTCCTGGGGGCAGATTGGACTGCGGACTGAAGCCCTCCCTGAAGTTTGAGTTCAGCGCTGCGCCGACGAGTTCCCTTCATGTCGCGGGTAAGAGCCGAGAGGCCTCCTGGCCGCTGAGACCATGCGAGAGCTGACAGGCTGAGCAGGAACCGGCCAGCACCGGAGGCGGCGTTTGGAAGCGTGCAGTCCGGCAAATGAGCGAGAGCAGCCTCCCTGCCAAAGCAAAATTGATCATAGCTACAGGGTTCAGAGCACCAGACAGAGAGGGGGAGGTAGGGAGGGAGGCAAAACACGGAACAAAAGTTCAGGAAGTGTCCCAACAGTAAATACAGACTTTCTCTCTCTCTCTGTTCTCGTTTGGAGCAACTTATGTTTGATCAACTGCCTTCTTTATGTAAAAAAGGGGTCTTATTATGAAGGAACCATTGTTTATAGCTGGTATTTAAGGCACAGCTTCTATACAGACAGGATGAGAGTTGGGTAGAGGTGGTGAAGATACAATTGTATGGAGTAATATTACTGAATAACATTACAGAAGAAGTGCGCGGCACAGAAACAGAGGGAGACACACACAGACAAACACATAGAGACAGACCCTCCTCTTCCCGTACGCGACATTCACTTCCTCAAAGGTGGAACGAATCAAACAGGAGCCGGGCATCAACTCCCAACCGAGAGCGGAAAAAAAAACCCAGAAACCAATACTATTAATGCAACCGGAATGTGAGGTCCTGGGTTTGTCTCTTTTTTTAAGTAAAAGGAAAACAAAGACAATAAACGTTAAGATATTGAGAGAGATCTTAAGTCACTTGGCGCCTCTTTCTCCCGAGTGATAACGCCAGATTCTCCCCAGCTTCCTGCAAATTGACTGAAAAGTTTCTTCTAGACTTAGTAAATCCGCCTTGCCAATAACACCGGGAAAGTGCAACATTTAAACAATAAAACTCCCCGAAAAGCCTGCTGCTCCGAAATGTTAAGTTTCTAAAGTAGACATAAATAAATACGGAATGCTGTCGTTCTGAGAGTTTGGAAACACCGCGGAGAATTAGGAGGACGAGGGGAGAGAAAACCTCTTCTGTTAACTTGTGGCGGAGGAACAGCTTAATCTCTGTCTGGAGAATTGGTACTAGCAAAGGAGGGAGAAAAGATTTAAAAACAGGCGGTACTTCTGTCTGCAGACATACCGGCAAATTTCGATTGCAACTATAAGTTCACTTTTCATCATTGTTGCTGCTGCTACACTTTTTTTAAAAGAACGAGTGAACTGTGAGGACATTGCAATGTGCTGGAGAGAGGAAGAGGATTTATCACTGAATACTGTTCGATAGCTCTGTGGATCAGTTAAGAGTGTCTTGCTTAGTGGATATTCTGTATTTCCCCGGAGCCCACCCGAGAGTTTACTCTCACCCACCGCCCCTCACCTCCCCCCCCCTATTGATAATAATAATTATGGGGAACTAGTTCATCGCTCTCTCACTCAACTGTGTGTGATGTACGTTATCTGTATGCCTTCTACATTGATGTAAATGCTGAAAGTGAGCAGAGTGTGAGAGAGAGATACAAGAAGCGGCAGTGATACAAAGTAACTGGAGTGTGTGTCCGTCTATCTCATGCATATGAGGCAGTGACTGAAACCCTTCTCAGTCTCGCTGATATCTCTTGCTGGCTGAGGAGCTTTAACGGAGCGGCTTATTGACAACAAGAGCAAACCTCCACCGCCCCCCACCCCCCACCCCACCACACACACTCACAGTTCAGGAAAAGAAAGAATCAATGACTAGACTTTCGCCTCCTGCCTTATTCTGGTCTGTATGAGAACACCGAGAAGCAAACTAGTAACTCCGGAAACTCCTGCCGGCAGCAGAAGCGAGCGGCAGTATGCCGAGGAGGAAACAACAAGCACCCCGGCGCTCGGCAGGTAAGATCTCCCGATCACTACATGCACTTTTCTGCATTGAAGGTTTCGCATTCCATCCAGCGACTGTAGCAGAGGCAGGATACGGATGCGCGGAGATTGATTTTTTTTGGGGTGTGTGTGTGTGAGAGGGAGGGGGTTATATTCACTCCCTCACCTTTCTCATTTTGCCCGTCGAGTGGGTATATCTTTACCCTCGGCTGCCTGGAATCTGGGGGGGTGCTGGTGGAAAGGGGGCTAATATTATTTTGGCCATTCTTCCTTCCAATGTGAGTGGCGTAATTTGTCAGGTGTCTGTCAATTGCTGTCATCGTCATGTTTTTTTCTCCTTTCGCTGCGTCGTGGATTTGATCTCAAATAATTGTATTTTGACCTCCTTCCAACATCCCCCCAAAAAAAAAATCTTTTATTTTACCTTGCGGAATGTCAGGAAACTAGTCTCGATTTCTTAAAATATAAATTTAAGGATTGAGAGTCCATTTTCATATGCTTTTTTTAAAAAAAGTCAAGTGGCATCATTTATTTTCTGGGGTGTTTCGAAGGCGCTGATAATATTGGAGAGGATGTGTTAAAATAAGCAAGGTATCCCCTCTCTGTTTTCAGAATGTGAGGACATGTCCAGTGTAGACTCCAGATGCATTTTGATAGCCCCCCCCCCCCGCCAGAAATGGTGACTGTCTGAGGCATCAGCAACCTCTTCTTGATCGTGCATGTAATTAACTCAATAGAGATTTATTTTTAAAAAAATGCTTCCTTTCTGAAGGACTTGTTTTGGTTCAATTAACAGGGTATAGTTTTCTATCTCTGTCTCCCTTTCTGCTTCTCAGAGAATTGCTATTCTTAATTTGATGTATGATGGATCCTCTGTCATCTAGGCAGCCTTTGATCTATTCATTCCTGATAAAGATCAATAAATCACTCACCATAGCAACCCACATGTTCCTGACGTGACAACTCTGCAAGTCAGGTCACTTACCACTTTTTTTTTGTCCTAAGTTTGTTTGTACCCCATCCTCTTTTTCCCATCACCCCCGCTTCGTCATCCTCCTATTTCAGTATCTTTCTACAGCAAACCCCCGTTCGACATGTCTCACACATTATATAATTCAATCGCTAGATAATGAGCTTAACCTGGATTCTTTTTGACCTCTTAAAAAGAACAGAAAACTTGTGAAACAGGTCTGTTAGATAAACCGAAGATGGGGCATACTTTGAAGAACACACGCTGTTTTGTTGGAAAGGGAAATGATGAGTGCAGGAGGGTCAATGTGGATGACATTGTAAGACCTCGACTTAAGTCCAGTGGAAATTGGATATCAGCAACTTTAAACAACAAATATTTTTATAAAGGGGGCTGAACAACTGACACAAACGTGACGGTGCATGGTAATTCGTCCTGACAGCTCTTACATAGAAACAAGCCGTCGAGGCGACTTTTTCCAATATTGATTTAATTGTCTCTCTTTTGACAGGCACATACATCATTGGTTTTAATGGCCAATCAAAAGTTGGCAGGCTTTAGTGTTTCCATTCTTTTCCGTACATGACATTTGGCATACTTAATCAAAATGCAGGTTTGTAATAGCAATGAAGAGTTGATGACTGTGTCATCTGCTGTTTAAACGGATAGAAAATTAGCTAAAAAGATGGTAAAATATCTTTTACAGTGGCATTTTAAGCACATTTTATAGATGAAATATGGGTTCATTAGGCTGTCTCTTGGCTTGTCTGACTGCCACAACTTGCATAACTGATGACTTTTCTTTCCCTGAGAATATCAGGAGCGCCTAAAAAAAATTATTGTTTAACAGGCAGGAAATGGCCCTGAACATGTGGGCCAACAGATGTGTGTAAGAGTTCAGGCTGATGGAGAGGAGCCTGGGATTGTCCCATGGCTTCTGTGCAGTGATTGGAAAGAAGATGATCAGAGGAAATGGTCCCTTATAACAGAAGGCCTCATGATCATCACTTTAAAAAAAAGGAGGGAAAAGTTAGAGATGCATAGCTTGCTTCATTACCAAGACCCTAATTATCTGAGAGCTTGATAGATTTGTGACAGGTTTACTGATTAATGCTGACAAATTTAGTAAGGTGTCAGGTTCACAGTCAGGTTGATGTGATCAAGTTGATATTATACAGTCCCTATTGCCAGTAGTGCAGTATTAACTCAATTTACTGGTGCAGGTGACAAATGGACTTTGCTACCTGACTAATCATGTCACAGAGACAATGCTCCCTTAATGACCTCAGTAATTCTGCTTCTAACAGAGCAATAAAGCCAGGGTAAAACATTTTAGCTGAGTTGGTCGTTTCTTCAGATCTAAATGTTAATTGTACTTTCTGTTTAGATTTTTTTCTTGATAGGATTTTTTTCAACTAATCATTTTGGTTTTACGTCGAATCTGAAACACAGAAACAAACCATTTGATCCAATTGGTTTATGCTGGTGTTGATGCTTCACTCAAAACGTCTCCCATCTTAGTTCCTCTCACCCCATCAACATATGTCCTTTATTTGTATCAGCTTCTTCTTAAAGCCATATTTGCTGTTCACTTCAACCACTTCCTGTGGTACAGAGTTGTACATTCTCACCACTCTCTGGGTAAAGAAATTCCTCCTGAATTCTTTGTTCCATTTATGATTCTTTATTGGACTAAAATCCAATCTGAAATCCATTATAGAGCAGTCTTACCCAAGAATAAATGTGAAATTTTTTTGCTCTTATCATTTTCCTGTCTCATGTAACTTTTTTGTGCTTGCAAAGTATTCTTGCCATTCTCACTGCAGATGTTGTGCTCATATGGCAGAGGTGCCAAAAATGTGTGCAACAGGATAAAATTGAATTTAGTAGCATGTGGTGATGGTATGATTATGGCGCAGACTATTGTTATAAACATGTTTTACTTTTGTTAATGCTTTTAAAGCTAAGATCTGTGTGAATATTAATTGGAAGGGGCAATTCTAACTGAGGTGTTTAAGATGAGTAAAGGAGTTGATGGAGAGAAATTGTTTCCTCTGAAGGCCAAGCTCAGAACAATGGAGCAAAAACTTAAAACCAAAGCTTCATTGGTGATGTTAGGAAACACTTCTTCACATAGAGATTGTTGAAAATGGGGGTCTTTTTCTACTAGGAAGCTATTGAAGCAATTTATGATTTCAGAACTGTGATTGGGAATTAAGCATTACAGAACTAAAGAGGGTAGATGCAGTTCAAATACTGATCAATCAAAATCTAATTGAAAGTGGGAACAGGCTCAAGGTGCTGAATGGCCTCCTTCCATTCCTGTGTTCCTATTGCAATGCATCAGTTTAAGCCACAATTTCAGAAATACCAAATTGCTGCAATCATTGAATCATTTACCAGTTTCCCTTCAGAATATGTGTCCGTCTGAATGTAGCAGGTACTCTGGAGCAGATTCTTACATGTTTCTGGTCCTCTTGAAAATCTCACTTAAACGGCATATTTTCCTTGTGGCAGGTTGCTTGCCATCTAAAAAATCCTTCAGATCAGGAATAATTCAACTCTTTAAATTTGTAAAACGCTTCAAAATATTAAGCATTGCGCAGATGCTGTTCCCTCTCCAACAGTAATAGCATGTCATGATGCTTCCAGTTTCAAGATAGCAGCCAAAGATGTCCCAGCATTTTGAAATTCAGGTGGATTTTAACAAAATTGGTTGCTAAACGTTTCCTGTCACTGGGGAAAGATGTACCAAGATGATTTTCTGCCCATCCAATTTGGTAATAAGCTAACAACTTCAATGCTTTAGTTACAATTTGGTAGTGACATTGGGCTGTGTCAATTACACTCTGTTTCCACAAGTTGAAGCTTTTTTATGACAATTACCACATTTCTGTCCCTTTCTGTAGTAAAGTATAAAACACATGCTTGTTTCCAATAACTGTGTCATATCTACAATATTTATCCTGCAACCAACCACCACTGAAAAAGATTATCTGATCAATATTGCATTGCTGTTTGTGGGAGCTTGCTGTGTGCTAAGCTGCTGTATTTCCTACATTCCAACGATATCCATTCTTCAAAAGTACTTAATTAGTTTAAAAGGGTTTTGGAATATCCTGAGGGTGTGAAGGGTGCCATAAAAAAGAAAATCTTTCTTTCTCCAAATTGTCCTCACTGTTAACACCCCTTCTTTGAAAATCTGTTAACCCAAATTCTTTCCTGCTTACATGTTAAGGTCTAATCCACAGATACATTATTTGTTCTTCCCACCTTTTTACTACTTTGCTGAACCATCTCCATTGTATATCCCTCTTTAGCGAGAAGAATGTAAGTTGTTCTTCTTCTGTATTAGCCAAGACAGGCCATCATCTCTTCAGTTTGAATAACCTTTGTTTTTACAGCTCTTAGTAAAAAAAAGACAAATCAATGAGGCTAGGTTCTTTTGATGATTAACATAAAATTTAAATGCTTGACTTTGTGATTGAGAGCTGACCAGTGAAATGATGGAGGAGCCAAAGAGCTCCCTCTATTCACCTGATTCATGTTTGTTCACAATAACACAAGAAACAGATTTTCTGATCATGAATTCAATGGCAATTATGGGAGTTTGCTGTACACAATTTGGCTGCTGTATTTCCCGACATCGCAACTGTGTTTACTTTGCAAGAGCCTTCTTTCCCTCTCAGAATTTTTATAGAACCTCAATCCCATCACAAGGTCTCAAGAACCTGATTGCTTGATGTACTGTTTCTTTTGAAAAAGATTAATTATGACCTTCCTTTAGGAATTGCTATCTCCATAATCTTGCATAGTCTCTTCGGGGGTGTCTCTCTTCTTTCATTCAACTTCCACCATTCCTTCTCCTTTTCCTTTCTTCCCTCCCTCAGTAACGTCAATGTCTGCATGTCTCACGGGTGCGTGGTGGAAAGACTATCACAGAATCAGAACCCAATTTTTAAATAAAAAGCATATGCAGGGCTCCTGGAAATCTCATCATGCCCTTGATTTGTGACAGCTTTTACTGAGGAAATGTCTTTAC